CTCTTCCGATCTACCTAAATCCGAGCAATTTAGACTGTCAAGGCATAATATTGATATGTTTAAGATTGATAATCTTTATCTCCATTTTCTTTTCTTTTTTGTTCATCTAAAAACGGACATATCTATATATTTACAAATTATATAAGTCTTGTGTTCCTATTTTCCAGTTAGTATGATAGAATCATTTTGGTACTCTATCCATACTTTAATTTATGTCTCTTTAGTCTTTATTAGATTTTGGTCAAACTACGACAAACAAATTGCGACGAGAGAATTCCATTTTACTTTTATGTGAGCCAGATAATATTCTATGACAATATTTCAAAAAAAAAAAAATTGAAGTATTACAGTTATACTACAATTTTGTATAATTGTATATATATAAGTTTTATTTAATTCTCAAGAAATTAACATCTATATTCATGTATACATGTGTACAGAGAGCATAGTTGTTATATGTATCTTTTAGCACAGAGAGCGTATTTGTTATATGTTTCTTTTAGCACAAATATGTAGCATATTTTAAAATCGAAATTCTATGAATGTTAATATTATTTGTAAGAAGACATAGTTTTACTGTTAATCAATCAATATGATTTCATTAAACAAAATTGTTAATGAAAGTCTGATGTTCAAGTGTCAACATATCTTGGTTAAAGAGCTATTATAATGTTGTATGATGAAGGTTTAAGGAAACATAATATGTTTATTTGAGTGGGGGTCCGATTAAGGTTCTTCAAAAAAAAATAGGGAATGACATAGCATGGGAGTCAGATCAGGGTAACCAATCTAAAGGGCAAGCTAAACTTCCTTACTATTTTCTAAGTTTGTACTATTATAGAGGTGTCTTATGTTTTTCTTTTTTACACTTTTTTTGCACCATAATTAAGGTATCGGATGTGCTCTCTCTATATTTTTTTTTTTTTTGGGCATCCTAGCAAAACTGCTAATGAAGTTGTCATGCTTGTAATTCTACTTTATCTTCTTTCTTTTTTTAAATTTCTTGAATCATTTCCTTTCAATTATATCTTAAATCATAACCAATTGAATTTTGATATAATTACGTAGCTTTAAAAGCAAATTTCCCTGAAGTGACATCTTTGAATGGTTTAATAACATTGAAGCATTTTGATTTTTGCTATTAATCACATTTGAGCTTGTATTTTTCTCCTTTAAACCTATTTTAACCTTTACACTCATGTGTTTAACCATGTTTATGCCATTTAAAATGGTTTGTACTGATTGACATGGGATAGACATGCAACACACGTGCCCAGAAACTAGTAGAAACTTTAATTCTAAAGTTACTAAAGTAGTTGCCCAAAAATAGCTGCCCATTTTACTGCAATTTTGTTGAAAATCCAAACTTAAGTATGAAGCTTATTTGTCTGAAAGATATCTCAAGAAGAATCTAAAATTATAAGTAACCTAGGAATTATCCATGAGAAATTCCTACTTGTATAGAATTGCAGTAACTTAAGTTACTTTATCCATTGGACTGCTACTTTGTCGAAAATTCAAATTTAATTATGAAGCTTATTTGTATGAAAGATATCGTAAGAAGAATCTAAAATTATGTGGAAGTAACCTAGGAATTATCCATAAGATATTCCTATTGTTACAGAATTATAGTAAATTTACAGTTTAAGTTACTTTGTCAATAAATTTAGTAACTTTAGTTTTAGGTGTGGGGAGTTGTCTCAAAAGCCAATCACAATCATCCAAAATATACAAAATTAAGCATTAAAGTTTCACAAAATATGAAGTTAAGAGAATAAAAATTATAGATATAACTAGGCTTAATAGACAAATTGACAC